TAGGAATTCTTCATATATTCTAGATATGAATCCTTTTCCCAGGAATATCTTTTTTTTTTCTGGTTTGTGTCTTTCTGTTTGTTTTCAATCTTTTTATGTTGTTTTTTGAGGAACAGAAATTCTTTTTTTATGTACTAAATTCTATTAATCATTTCCTTTATGCTTGCACTTTTTATTTAAGACTATTTCTGTGCAGCGACATCATGAAAATGTTTTCCTATAATGTATTCTAATTATAGTTTTAATAGTCATTTATTGATACATAATCCAACTGAAATTAACTATTATTGTATCCAGGGAAGGATATAATACCATTTTTTCCCTGTATGGATTCTCAATTTTCCCAGTACCATACTGAAAAGTCCATTTATCTCTCACAAATTTTAAATATCATATTTGTTATATATCAAGCGGTAGATGTGAGTCTATTTCTAATTTCTTATTTTATTTTATTATTCTAATTGTCAATTTGAATCAGTACCACCTAATGTTAATTTCTATAATTTCATTAAAAATTGTGATATCTAGTAGGGCAAGTTCTCCAAACTTTTTTTTTTCCTTCAGTATAATACCATCTTGACAATTTTTTTAACACTTGAAATTTAATATAAATTTTAGATTCAGTGTGTTAATTCACACACACACACACACACACAGATTGGATTCTTATTGCCACTGTATTGAATTTATAATAATAATTACAAGCCACCATCTTTATGATATTTGTCTTTTTAGTTTATGAACATGGTATATCTCTTGATTTATTTAGGTCATCTTTAATGTATTTCAGTATAGTTTTATATTTTTGTCCATGATGGTTTTGCATATTTATTTTTTCTTTCATTAAAATATCATTGATATACAATCTTATGTTGGTTTCAAATGAACAACACGGTGGTTCAACAGTTACCCATATTATTAAATTCTCATCCCCTCTAGCATGATTACTTCAATATAAGCTGAGCATGGGGACAGTAGAAAAGTGTTACAGAATCATTGATTATATTCTCCATGTTGTACTACTGTCCCCATGATCAGTTTATATTGTGATTGTGAATCATTGTGCCCCTTTATCCCCCTCATCCTCCCCTACAACCTGCCCCAACCCCTCCCCCTTGATAACTGCTCGTCATTTCTCAGTGTCCATGAGTATGCTGCTGTTTTGTTCCTTCTGTTTTGCACTGTTTTTATATTCCTCAAATAAGTGAAATTATATGGTATTTGTCTTTCTCTGCCTGGCTTATTTCACTGAGCATAATACCCTCTAGGTCTATCCATGTTGTTGCAAATGGTATGCTTTCTTTTCTTTTTATAGCTGAATGGTATTCCATTGTGTTTATGTACCACATCTTCTTTATCCATTCATCTGTTGATGGACACTTACGTTGCTTCCATATCTTGGTTATGGCAAACAGGGTGGCCATAAACATAAGGGTGCATTTATCTTTTTGAGTCTCAGGGATTTTGTTTTCTTCAGGTAAATTCCTAGGAGTGGAATTACTGGATCAAATGGTATTCCTGTCTTTAGTTTCTTTGAGGAACCTCCATATTGCTTTCCACAACAGTTATACCAATTTATATTCCCACCAACTGTGTAGGAGGGTTCCTATTTCTCCACATTCTCACCAGCATTTGTTATCTTTTGTGTTTTGGATAGTGGCCATTCTAACTGGTGTGAGGTTATCTCTTATCGTAGTTTTAATTGGTTTTGCATATTTTGTATTACCTTTATTTCTGGGTATTTCATAAATTTTTGTTTTAGTTTTAGAAAATTTATTTTCTAAGTCTGTATTGTTGGTATATAAAACGCAATAGATTTTTATTCGGCAAATTTGCTCTTCCCTTATTCTATAGATTATAGCTTCTGCTGGATTTTTACTACATTTAGATTGGCATGGAAAGGATGGGAAGGAACCTTTATAAATAATAGATAGTATAACTATGAGATCATAGACTAGAAATTTATTCATTTATTCACTCTCTCATACATATTTATTGGGCACTTTGTTACATGAGATGCTGTGTTACACTGAAGAAGATACCAGTATGTATATTGAAATGTCCCTAGATTTTCAAAAATCATTCATATGATTTATAGATGTAAGTGATAAGTTAAATAAAGATGATATACACTAAATACTCATACACAATTGGGGAACTAAAGCAAATCATTGTAAAGAAAGTGATATTTTGTCTCAATGTGTAGGTTAGAAAGAGGGAGATGAGTGGAAGTTCTTTCCATGTAGTAGGACCAGAGAGCACAACAAAGGTAGAAGTGAAAAAAAGCATGGAATGGCCTTAGATAACTTTATGTCTGACTGGATTTTGAGTGGTTTTAAGGAGATGGCTAAAGGTAAGAATGAAAAGTCTGGCTGAGCCCAGAGCATGAAGGGCCATGAATTCTAGGCCAAGCAATTTAAACTTAAATTAGTAGATCACTAATAGATACACAAACCACTCAGTTTTATATAGTCTAAAGTGTGTCATTTATGGGAGGCTGATAGTAGTATCAAGACTTAGTTCAACTCACAATTATAAACAGGTAGATGAGAATGGGATGAGGTATGGGAGTGTGAAACAAGTAAAATATCAGTGTATTATTCAGGGTGTCTGATATGAACTATCTCCATTTCTGATGATGGCTTGATGTTGTTTACATAATTACATTCTTCTATTACTTAGAAAAAATTTATTTATTTTCTGAATAGTGAGCATAATACCCTCTAGGTCTATCCATGTTGTTGCAAATGGTATGCTTTCTTTTCTTTTTATAGCTGAATGGTATTCCATTGTGTTTATGTACCACATCTTCTTTATCCATTCATCTGTTGATGGACACTTACGTTGCTTCCATATCTTGGTTATGGCAAACAGGGTGGCCATAAACATAAGGGTGCATTTATCTTTTTGAGTCTCAGGGATTTTGTTTTCTTCAGGTAAATTCCTAGGAGTGGAATTACTGGATCAAATGGTATTCCTGTCTTTAGTTTCTTTGAGGAACCTCCATATTGCTTTCCACAACAGTTATACCAATTTATATTCCCACCAACTGTGTAGGAGGGTTCCTATTTCTCCACATTCTCACCAGCATTTGTTATCTTTTGTGTTTTGGATAGTGGCCATTCTAACTGGTGTGAGGTTATCTCTTATCGTAGTTTTAATTGGTTTTGCATATTTTGTATTACCTTTATTTCTGGGTATTTCATAAATTTTTGTTTTAGTTTTAGAAAATTTATTTTCTAAGTCTGTATTGTTGGTATATAAAACGCAATAGATTTTTATTCGGCAAATTTGCTCTTCCCTTATTCTATAGATTATAGCTTCTGCTGGATTTTTACTACATTTAGATTGGCATGGAAAGGATGGGAAGGAACCTTTATAAATAATAGATAGTATAACTATGAGATCATAGACTAGAAATTTATTCATTTATTCACTCTCTCATACATATTTATTGGGCACTTTGTTACATGAGATGCTGTGTTACACTGAAGAAGATACCAGTATGTATATTGAAATGTCCCTAGATTTTCAAAAATCATTCATATGATTTATAGATGTAAGTGATAAGTTAAATAAAGATGATATACACTAAATACTCATACACAATTGGGGAACTAAAGCAAATCATTGTAAAGAAAGTGATATTTTGTCTCAATGTGTAGGTTAGAAAGAGGGAGATGAGTGGAAGTTCTTTCCATGTAGTAGGACCAGAGAGCACAACAAAGGTAGAAGTGAAAAAAAGCATGGAATGGCCTTAGATAACTTTATGTCTGACTGGATTTTGAGTGGTTTTAAGGAGATGGCTAAAGGTAAGAATGAAAAGTCTGGCTGAGCCCAGAGCATGAAGGGCCATGAATTCTAGGCCAAGCAATTTAAACTTAAATTAGTAGATCACTAATAGATACACAAACCACTCAGTTTTATATAGTCTAAAGTGTGTCATTTATGGGAGGCTGATAGTAGTATCAAGACTTAGTTCAACTCACAATTATAAACAGGTAGATGAGAATGGGATGAGGTATGGGAGTGTGAAACAAGTAAAATATCAGTGTATTATTCAGGGTGTCTGATATGAACTATCTCCATTTCTGATGATGGCTTGATGTTGTTTACATAATTACATTCTTCTATTACTTAGAAAAAATTTATTTATTTTCTGAATAGCTTTGAAGTCATATTTTGGTATTTCCTTTCTGAGTAAGAATCAACTCTCAAGCATAACCCTGAGGGCATAATATCTAGGAATTAGTTTTCTCCCTCATTTTAAAGGAAAAAAATTGGGCTGCTTCTCACTCAGATAGTTTTGGTCATTTGATCTTATTTTTTAGGTTATGATATTGGTTTAACAGGCTTTCTCTATAAATTGCTTAGGTCACCTTATTTTGTTAATAAGAAAAAATTATTAAATATCAATCATGATTTGTGGTATCAAAATTCAAGGTCTATTTTATAAATGCTAAGGATCAGAAAATTATTATAGGAACACTAATAGACATACTACAAATGGCTAATGCAATTTTTATTGCTGAACTGAGATGAAAAATGAAAAAGTGTGTCTTTCTCCACTCTAGTACTGAAACCTCATTAGGATTTGGCTAGTACGTGGGGAAGTGACATAGAGAGGTTTTCTCAGACAAAATACATTAACATTACAAATGAAACTGGGTCCAAATCTATCTCAAGGAGCATTTTCTCTCAGAGGTATAGTAAGAATTACATTAGCAGTGCAGGTAGGTATTAAGCACTCTTGAATAATTCTGTGTTTTAGAAAAGGAAAGTGACCTTTTGTATCTCTCAGAGGGGTTATGGCTGTACAGATATATTTAAAAATAAAACTAACTGGGACAAAACACCAGGTATACAAAAATATGTGGGAAAATTTCATATTCAGTTAAAAATATAAAGTATCTTAAACAAAGCATTTCATAATATTCAACGTTGTCTGACCTTTATTGTGCTCTAGTCAAGTAACTTATCTTCTGTTTTAGGTTGTAGATGGGAAATGGAGGACAGAATAATATTGTTGAAAATTCTCAATTTTGTACTGCTCTGAAATATGGTCAGCATTTGCAACCTAGACTCCTTAATAATTAGGGTAACTATTGTTTTTCTTCAATTATCAGAGTTACATATTTTTCATACTTTGACATATTTGAAACCAGGGTGTTTCCTAAGAGCAATGTCAAAAGGAAGATGCCCCAATTCCTGTTTCTCAGTGGTCGTTATCTTTGTGATAATACAGTCATACATGGTAGCATTCAGCTGCTTGAATTAACTTAAGTTTGAATCTCTAATGTTGCTTTCAATGTTTTAAAAAGAGATAACTCTGTAATACAGAACTGAGAGGAAACATTATTTTATAAAGAAAGACTATTAAATGCTAAGCAATGAAATCAATGGTAGTAGAAAACTGCCAAATCTATTGAATATATTATGGCATTCCTAAGCCAGGAAAGATTATATGATAGATTCTTGGTCTTAAAGGATTATTACTCAGGTACCAGCATCTATCCAACAAAAGCTTCTGGATGACTCTCAAGAGAAGGTAATTCACTTACAGTGATGTGTAATTCAATTAAGGGAAAAGTGAAACTATCAGCTTAACCAAATAGGAAACTCGAACAAAACCCTAGAATTATACTGTTAATCTTAAGAATGCCCAAGAGGTCAAAATCACAAGCATAGATTATGAAAAGCAAATGTCACACTGCCTGACCCAAAACAACTCAGAAGACTGAGTGAGAAGACACTAATTTCCTTTTGATGCAGAAAGTGCTATCCCCAATTACTTGAATAAAAATGTAGTATTATGAGGGTGAAAGCAACTTAAAATATATCTAATTTTGTTTTGTCTCTGAAGATGTAATAAATACTTAGAGAAGCAGAAATGGTAATCACTAAGAACCAAGATGGATTTACTGCCTCTGAATTACATTAGTATGAATTATGAACTCATAATTCAAAACACTATGAATTACACTAATAATCTCACACTAATATGGTATTCTTTTTGACAGGGTTGCCAAGTTTGAACTGGAAGGCCCAATATATTAATCCAGGAGGACACAACAAACTCATTTTATTCTTGTGGACAAAATGGAGACACATGGACTACATTAGGTAATGTAGTAGAGGTTGAATGACTTGAGTTGATGTGGTCTGATGAGTGATTGATGGCATCTGGAGAGAAGTTACTAGTGGCTTGCGGGTGACTAATAGCTCTTCCTTTATGCAGTGAAATTTGTTGGTAACTTGAACACATGGAAACTTTTCTTATAAGACCTGAAGTTGTAAAAAAAAAAAGCAAGGATAAAAATACTTTAATCAAATTAGTATCTCTAAAAAATTTGTTGGGGAGTAATGGACTGAATCCAGTAAGATTAATTTTATAAGGGATAAGTATAAAATTTCCGAGTGTGAGTATATAAAGTGAACTTGTTCTGATGAGCTAGCTCTTTTTTTTTTTTTTTCAAACTTTACTGATCATATTTTATTTCCTCAGCCGGCATATTGATTGCACTGGTGTTTTTTACATTTGATGTCTCACCCAGAAATTTTTTTTTTTTTTGAGAGGGCATCTCTCATATTTATTGATCAAATGGTTGTTAACAACAATAAAATTCTGTATAGGGGGGTCAA